TTCTGTGATTCTGTGGTGCAATGCTACCTTTGTCTACAGGTGTACAGCAATCCAGGAGGATGCTTTGCTCATTTTGATGATGCTCCACAGGGCAGCTTGCTCCCTCAGGAAGGGCCCAAGATGGCTATCGCTTGGACATCTCTTCCTCCTCCTGACCTGAAACTCAGCTCACTTCTCAACTTTCAGGTACAATGGTAGATCAGAGGTGAAGCGTTAGCACAAGTAACCGTCGCTGGAGTCCCCAAGGCTTCTGCTTGGTTATTCAAGCAAGATGAAAGGAAAGAGTACTCTACTCCTTAAGATTGTCCCAGGTAGAGGCTAAATCTATTACAAGCTCTCTCTGCCTGCTCAGTTCTCTCATCCTCCCCCTGTACCACGGAGTTGCTGGCATTGAAGGTTTATGTAGGATTGGCAACTATTAATGTAAGTGCTTTAGGTTATAATGGACAAGAGCCACTGTCTGCATCTCATATGTGGATTCTCAAACAGCTGACCAGTCCTCAAAACATTTGCTTTCAGTATTTGTTTTCAAGTCCAAGGTCAGTGATTCACCACATCCACACTGGACCCCTGGGAAGAACAGAATCAAAGAGAGCCCTGAGGCTCTGCTATCCATTACCTACCTTCGTCGTGCTGTCTTGGGAGAAAATAAAGCTGTTCACATGAGCCACAGCCACCACATAAAGAACAGGGCACCAAGTGTGACGCAGGGCACCAGTGACCAGTGTTTGGAAGTAGAGTCGCAGGAGGTTCAGGTTATCCTCAGGAGGGGAAGTGTATCGCTCAAGAGGCACAGGAAACTGCAACAAAACCACCCAGAGGCAACATTACAATTTTTGTCAGGGTATAAGTAGTGAGGGGAAGTTCATGACTTTAGAGTGCCCTTTCCCAGCTATTTCTGTGCACTCCTATACAACATGATGCACCTCAGTGGCACGACCCCAGTTTGGAGCAGAGCTGTTACTGCCCACACTGACTAAGGTGACACGCCTTTGACAAAGCATCCTCAAGACCTCTTCAGCTTTATGGAGAGATGTTTTACTGGTTAAATCACTGCAGTTGCTTTTTGGCACAAGTAAGAAAAGTGGTTTCCAATTGAGAAGACAGAGTACTTTCAACAGCACCACACCCGCTAATGTACCAGAGGCTCACAGTGACACACGCATTTAGCCAGAAAAGGAAAGCAGAGAGATGTGCCAGAATCAATGTTGTCATTAAGCGAAGTTTCCAACATTTTCTGACTTCACTGTCTAGTTTCAACAAATAGGTTAGAAAAGCTTTTAGTAACAACTTGCTTTTGTTTGCTTCTCCCCTCTCCAGAAGTCAAAATTTTTATTCTTCTCATTTTTGAGATACGTCCTCTAGGGCTAAAATTACATATTTCACTTTAGAGCATCTTCTTCACACGATTAAAGACAACCATTGATTATACTCAGTCCAAAAAGTAGTCTGCCCGCTAGGGTATTCCTACTGCCCACAAGGGTATTTTTAACTCAATTTAAGACAAAAAGGGAAAAAAACCAAACAAACACCACCTCCTCAAGTGATCTTGCTCAAATTTTCCAACAGGAAAGTTTGCAGTTTGTTTTCAAGCAACACGGCAATGAAAACATTGTTCAAAGTATTTGGCACTTAAAAAACAACTCTAAGCACATGAAAAACAATCAGCTTTGAAATGTTTTCTATTGTAAGGTAACACTTCTGATGGTACTGAGAGATTGGGTGTTGAGGGCTCAAGACAAGATAAAACACATGATAGAGAATCAAGGCTTTCATCTGGCATACGGTGTTCAGCTGCTTCTTACATATATTTGTGGAACTGGAATAGAGACAGGGAAGAGCTACTGGGAACATCAAAAGAACATAAAGCCTACCATAAGACCACCTTCATACACACAAGCCATAAATTAGAAGCCAGTCCTCATCATTAGACTAAGCGGAGTGTGGAATAGTTTCCACTGAAGACTGGACAATTTCACAGTTCCTGTCTTCCACATATACACACTATCTGCTCTCACATAAAAGTTCAGCAG